CGCAGGGCTTCGCGAGCCTTCCGTTTCGTATGTTTCTGCTTCTCACATCCGCTGCCCCGGCAGGACAGGACGGCACGTCGTACGCGTGGGTGGTCGGCCATTGTGTCGACGGTTTGTACGGGGGAACGGGGAGGAAGCTTTTGACTCTGCAGGACGCGCGCACGAGTGGTACGGTTTCCGGTCGTGTGTGATTCGGTCTCAGCGCGTCAGCAGTGACTAGTGAGCAGTGACCGCGATCAGGTCGGCACCACTGCGTGAGTTCTTCGTACCAGGACTACTAAGTATTGTAGTATACAATGCCAATGATGCCAGGGCGAGTATTCTTCAGGCCGTGTCCATTCGATGGCTGGTGGAGTCTGTGTCTTCTGTGTTGTTTCGGCCCCTGGGCAGCTGGCCCGTAGGGCAGGCACGCACGTTCGCTAAAACAAAAATGGATTCTTTAGCATGGCATGTGGCCATATATAAATACTGGAGTACAAGAGAAAAGGAAGAAATCAAGTCAAAAAAAAGAGAAAAGGAGGAAATAGGACCGAAAAGATAGGCCGTCACCAACGTGCTCTTTCCGTGCTCGTTACGCGGCACCAAAAAAAATAATTCGAAGAATTGACGAAATCAACAAATAAAACGTAGAGTTCTGTAGTATATAGTACTCAAAGATTATTATCTAAAAAAAATTATAGTTCTCAAAGATCAAAGATCGAAGATCATGGACCTCGCGGCAGCGAAGAAGCTGTGGACGGCTGGTCGGACTGGACAGGGGCGAGCGATACGCCAACGCTTTGCCTCGTCGAAGAGAGAAGAAAACAGGCCCTTCCATGTGGGCGAGATAGCTGATAGCTGCTCATGTCATGTGCTTCGACAGCAACCTCGGCCAGTTTAGATCGTGGGATACCTAAGTTTAGATGGGCCAAGTGGACGACATCTTCCACTTAACTGGGGCGAATAGTAATAGGGCCTGCAGCAGTACGTCCCCCCAAAACTGCCGCGTCTCGGCCAATTTGGATCGTGGGCTCGTGGCCGTAATTAAAATGGGCCTTATCGTAGACGGTGTCAATCAAACGCAAGAGCGCATTTTCGAAAAAAAAAAACCTTCTGGCCTGATGAAATTCCGTGTTGGCATGCATCTCAGTTCTCAGTACAGTGAAGAGCTGCTGAATTCAATTTAGTAAGGGCCTTTTGGCACGGCTTAATGCCGGCTTCGGCTTCATCTATTTTGCGTAAATCGAGGCACTATAGCGTGAAGCCGTTTTGTAAGCCGGAGTTAAAATGAACTAGAAACCGGAAAAAGTCAGTTTTTGTAGCTTCACCGGTGAAACCGTTTTGGATGAGTCGTGCCAAAGGGGGCTTAAACCCCTCGGCTATTTTCGAAGCAAACCTTATATTTGTACTCAAAATCTTTAGCATGGAAGCAACGAAAGGTGCATTCATCAAACTGACGACAAAGCAAAGCCAAGCGCAGAGGCACAGCAGCTAGTTCACTTCAGCACGGCGAAACCACCGAATCCGGCGACGACGACCAGTGGAACGACGGACACCCAGACGACCCGCCTGCCCCAGCCGCGGCGGCGGTCCGGGTCCCCCGCGACGCAGAACCCCACGGCCACCTCGAGCCCCCCGAAGAGCGCGACGGCGGCGAGAACCGCGTAGTAGGCGCAGAGCAGCGCGGTGCCGCCGCGGAGGAACACGCCGCCGGCCGGCAGGGACCTGGAGGAGAGCGCGAGGAGGAGCGCGGCCACGGCCTTGGCGGCGCCGCCGCCCACCAGGGCCCGCCGGAGCTTCTCGTCGTCGTGCCCGGCCGCCGCGGCGTCCGCCACCTCCGCCGGCGCCGTGGCGGGCATGTGGACGCAGAACGAGTCCATGGGTCGTCGGGTGCCGGTGCCGGGAAGCTGAACTTCGGAGTGTCTCTGATCGAGTGGTCGCTCACTGGCACGTACGGCTCGTGCTCTCGGGCTGCTCTGATCGATGTGGCAGTGTGGATTGTGGAAGACGACGTGCTTTGAGTGCTTCCACTTATATATAGGGAGCACCGCCCGCCCGAGGCCCGAGCCGAGGGGCACTCACGAGCCAGGCAGAGGCAGGCAGGAAGGCGTAGCCGGCCCGCCCGCCCGACGGCCCGAGGCCCGAGCGTGTAGCAGAGGAGAGAGGACGACTTTCTGCTTCAGGGCGTGATGTGACAGCGAGGGGCCCAAACCAGAGCGGGGCGTGAAGTGACAGCGAGCGGGCCCAAACCTGTTCGGCTGGAGCTGGTTCGTAGATAGAAAAACAGGGTTTTGGTCGGAAGATACTGTTCATGTGAACCGTGCTTGCGTGAGTGGGCTGACAGCACCCGCCAGTCCAGCCGAACAGGCTGTAGTCGCAAAGGTGGGTGTTGATGAAATATTTAGCAGTTACTGGATAAATGCCGGTACGTTGTACGGAGGCTATATATTTTTTGGTTCAATACCTTTATTGAACGATGAGCACGGCTGAACCGTAGAATTACCGAGGACAGTGAACTTAACTGTGCCTTTGAGCCGTTGGCGACGGGAGAGTCGTGTTTGAATATATGCGTGGTCTGCTTTGTTTTTGTCAGTAAAGCCCTTGCTGAATTTCTCTTTTTGAATACGTGCCTCATCTGTTCCATCGGTCTGTCAGTCCTTTATATCGATGTGGAAGAGTTTGTTCGGCAACTTTATTTTTTTGGTGAGTTTGTTTTGGAAAAGAGTCTTTCTTGTTGTATATTTTTTCAGAAGCGTTTTTTAGACGTTTTAGTCCGGCCACGGACGACGTGGAAGATTTTGTTTCGGAAACATTTTGGTTTTGTTTTTTCCCATTTTTTTGTTCAGAAAAGGGTTTGTTTTCTGCCGTATAGTTTTTTCTTGGAAATGTTTTTTCTTTTTTGGGAAACGTATTTTTTCCGGCCATGTGAACGAGGTGGAAGAGTTTTTTTTTCTGAAACACTTTTTATTTGCCCGTGGAAGTGTTTGTTTTGGAACTGTTTTTTTTTTGCTGTATATTTTTTTAGTATATGCGACGGCGTCGCACCGTGCTCCCGTGCGACCGCCTGTAAGTGGCTGCCGCGTGTCCCCTGTGTATACGTGAATACGTGATCCACGGCTCAAACTCCTCTCCACGGCAAACGAGCTAGCGACTAACATGCGCCTATATGTGAATACGTGGAAAGACGGAACGGCCAACGGACTACGGGGGCACGCGGCAGCTGGGCGACGCGAAAGCCGGATTAATTAAGCTGGGCAAAGCGATCAACTTGCTCATCCAACGTTAACATTAGTAATTTTTTAGTGTAGACTGATGACCCGAAGCGGTGATTGTGGCATAAAAAATGTCTATCGTGGAGAATTGATTTTTCAGCGTGTTCGGCTGGTCAGCTTCGGCTAGCTGGCTGGCCTTTTTTTCCAGCCAGAGCAGTTTTTTTCTCTCACCAAATTCCAGCATAAACAGTGTTTTCCAGCTGCTACAGTGGAAATTTAATGCCAGCCGAACACTCTCTTTGATTTCCTAATTTGCTGCGGCTGTTATGGGAATTGAGCTGATCACATGAAGTGAGTATGCGTTGTCTTCCTGATTTGATCGCATGAAGCGAGTGCGCGTTGCTTTTCTGATTTGATCGTATAGAGCGGCTTTGGTGTCGTACTTGTGGACGAAATAGTTATAAATGTTTTAGTTGTAGAGATAACGACTGGAGCGAGGAACATAAATTTGAGCGGAAAGCGACGGCCCGGGCGCTCAGCATAGATTACTCTGCTTTCTGCGTGGGTTGATTCATCGGGCTCGCCGGGCTTGAGGTACCGTTTAGTTCCCTCTCAAAATACAAAATTTTTCAAGATTCTCCGTCACATCAAATCTTTGGACGCATGCATGAAGCATTAAATATAAATAAAAAATAAAACTAATTACACAGTTTAGACGAAATTCACGAGACGAATTTTTTAAGCCTAATTAGACTATGATTGGACACTAATTGCCAAATAACAACGAAAGTGTTACAATGCCATTTCGCCAAAAATTTTGCAAACTAAACAAGTCCCAAGATTAACCTTTTCTTTTGGTATAGTCTAGGACAATCTCTCGAAATAAAAACTGACAGAGCCACAGTGTTTGGAGGGAAAAAATCATATCGAGCCTGTTCGCTGGTTGGTTTCTGGGCTGATAAGTTCGACTGATGCTGGTTTATTATAAGAAGAAAACACTGTTGGTTAGCTGATAAGCCTTGACTGAAACCAACAAGCGAACAGACTGACTAGCTGCACAGTTTACGTACACCTACGTCAATTTAAACTTCTGTATTTATTTGTTACAGTGGTATTTTTATGAGTTATTTGATCTAGGCCATTATAATTCTTTGAGTTTTGAGAAACGCCGATATAATTCACCTATTTAGAGATTTGCCATTACAATTTTATCTCTCCCGCATTCATGCTATTTTTCTACGGCTGCCACGTACCAGGCCCACTGTCAGGCACGTATGCCTACGGGAAGGCATACGGACGTCAAGTCCCCGTCTCCTCCGACCGAGCTCACTATCGCTCGCACGCAGGCCACCGCGGATGAGCGATTGAGCGCCGTCGCTCCGCCTCCGCCCCCCACGGGCAGCCGCCAGCACGGGACGGCGGCCGGCGCCGCGCTGGGCTCGCGGACTTCTTCCATGCGGCGGCGGGGTCTGGCGTGGGAGGCGTCCTGGCAGCCCTGCTGTTCGCGTGGGAGGCGGAGAGGCCGCGCTCGACGGCGGCGGCCTACACGTGAGCAGGAGCGCTCGCCCGCGGCTTGCCAGTCTTGACGCGGCCTGCTCGTATAAATCCGCACCACCAAGCACACAAGCTTAGAGCTTCGCTTGCTTCACGGCAAGAGCAAATTAAGCAGCGGTGGTCGCGTCACCGTTGCGTACTCGCGCCCGTGCCAACAAGACGAAGGCGAGGGCGAGGCAGGCAGGCTGCCTGATGGTCCAGGACGAAGGCTCCTCGTCGTCGGTCACATCGTCCCCGCTGCACAACTTCTCCACCATGCCGCTCTACGCATCCCCCGGCGGCGCGGCGGCGCCGTGGTTGACGCGCGAGCTCCGCTCTGACGAGTGCGGGCTCTGCCTCATCCACCTCCTCCTCAACTGCGCCGCGGCGGCGGGCGCGGGGCGGCTGGACGCCGCCAACGCAGCGCTCGAGCACAACGCCGACGCCACGCAGTGGCTCGAGCTGCTCCACCTGCTGGCCGCGCGCCCCGAGGGACCGCTGCACCTCCGCCTCACCGCCGTGCACGAGCATTGGGACGTGCTCACGCAGACGGCCATGGCGCTCACCAAGGAGGCGGAGCGCCTGGACGTGCCGTTCCAGTTCAACCCCGTCGTGTCCCGGCTCGAGGCGCTGGACGCAGAGTCGCTCCGCGTGAAGACCGGCGAGGCGCTCGCCGTCACCTCCAGCGTGCAGCTGCACTGCCTCCTGGCCTCCGACGACGACAGCTCCGGCAAGGACGGCTGCCACCACCACCACCAGAGCAGCAACGGCAAAGGCGGGGACACGAACAAGCGGCACGAGCGGCTGGACCGCTGGGCGGTGCGGATGGAAGGGGCGGGTTTCGCCCGCGTCCTGCTCAGCTACTACGCGCTGCTCCAGGCGCGGCGCGCGGCGCGCGGCGCGCGGCGCAGGGGCTCGGCTGCGATGGCTTCAAGGTTCGCGAGGAGAAGGTCGCCTTCTTCCTGTGCTGGCAGGACCGCGCCATCTTCTCTGTCTCCGCCTGGCGCGGCCGCCGCTTCGACTGATGGACGAACGCTGGTGGCCTTCTTCCTGTGCTGGACTGCAGGTGCTTGCGCGCGCCCGCGGTGGTGGTGGCGTTGGCTGCTCGCACACGCTCCCGCGCGGCAGCTGTTCGCACGCGCACCTGGGCGCGCTCGGTCTGACGGAGGAGATACGGACTTGACGTCCGTATGTCTCCCCGTAGACATACATGTCTGACCAGTGGGCCTTGTACGTGGCAGTCGTAGAAAATGGCATGGACGTAGGAGAGATGAAATTGTACTGGCAGATCTTTGAATAGGTGAATTATAATGGCGTTTCTCAAAACTCGAAGAATTGTAATGGCGTACCCTATTTTTATTCACAGTAGGTTGCCCAGCTTTCGTGAAAAGAGATACGAGTAACAAAGTTCAGTAGAAAAGCTGGGATACCGGCTTAGAACAGAGCAATACTCAAGCTGCACCACGGCAAAGCATTAAGCACCACGGCAAAGCTCAAGCTGTAGAGACAAAAGACTGCTACCAAATATGTGGAGTGGCATTCACTCAGGGGGTAAAAAATGAAGGGCTTTTGCTTCGTATGTATTACAGGTAGCCAGTAAATTGGGTTTGTGCCGATGCAGATCCATGACACTCGATAGTCTAGTGGGGAAATCTTATGCCGGGCCGCTCTGTCTGCACCGGCACCAGAGCGCCATCTCATCGGTCAGTTGATCCCCTCCAAAGCCCGTTCGTTCCCTTCCCTCTCGAATTTCAGAATTCATACAAAGATCACGGAACAAACGCATGCAATGTAAGTAACAGACCAAATTTATTTGAAATGGTCAACATGTTTGTACGCTCGCTATATATAATCACAACATATAAATAAAGCACATTTCTCGTAGTCACGATGCCTATGCGGCAATTACATGGTACTCCGTACATACTCTAGTATTCAGTAACATATATCGACATATACGGACAGCGTGGAACTATGCCATTGCCATTCAAACAAACCCAAGAGGCCAAGACAGTGTACGTTGCAAACTTGCAATATTGTCACTTCAAGACCGCGAACCCTCCGACCGCGGCCAGTAGGACCAGCGGCAGGAGCGACGCCCAGAGCACCGCCACGCCCACCGCGCGCCGGCGGGGCAGAGGAGCAGGGTCGTCGTCGTCGTCGTGGGAGAGCCAGAGCCCCGTCCACGCCTCCGCCACCCCGAGGAGGACAATGGCAGCCAAGACGCAGTAGTAGGTGCGGAACAACGGCCCGGACAGGAGGAACAGCCCCGCCGGGGCCCTGAACAGGATCAGGTACAGCGCCGCCGCGGCCTTACCAACGCCGCCGCCCACCAGGACCCGCCGCAGCTTCGCCACGTCGTGGGTTGCCTCCACCATGTCGGCCGCGGCGGCGACCGCGTCGGCGCTGATGATGGTGTTGCCGCCGGCCTCGACGTCGAGAGGACCCATCTTATTCGGGCGATCTTGGCTTCGGAAGTGGGCCTGTGGGGGCTGAGCTGCGGTGTGCAGCGGGAGCTGGGTGCGGCGGGAGACAAGTGCAGCGGCTGCTTGCTGGTGTAGTGGAGTGGAGGACGATGGTGCACGGACGATGGTGCCATGGTGGTGGTCTGTGGGATTTATAGCTGGCCTGCGACAGAGGTGAATCGGTTGGTTCAGGCGTGCGGGACACGGGCCCTACCGGCTTCCTTCTCCACCCGCTTTTTGTCAGCGGCTTCCTTCTCCACCCGCTTTTTGTCAGCTAGGGCGCGGGCCCTACCTCTCTCTCACGCGGTCATGGCCACCGTTTAGTTTGCAAAATTTTTAGCGAAATAGTAATGTAACATTTTTGTTGTTATTTAATAATTAGTGTTCAATTATAGTCTAATTAGGTTTAAAAGATTCGTCTTTTGAATTTCGTCTAAACTGTGTAATTAGTTTTATTTTTTATTTATATTTAATGCTTCATGTATGCGTCCAAAAATTCGATGTGACGAAAAATCTTAAATTTTTTTTGTAAAATGAAGTGGAAGTAAACGGTACCCAAAGAGCTAAAACAGCATTGCTGACTAGACATATACTTTTTTTATTGAAGGAAACGATCCCAGTGGAGCTATGGTTGATTCGGCCACCTGAGGCCCGCGCGTGGAGTTCCTGGACGCTGGAAGCCCGGTGGAAATTTCCACGCGGAGGCCCGGAGGCAAAGGGGAATAGACTAGATACGAGGAGGGAAAGGAAAATGAACTGGCATGCCAGTAGAGGGAAAGATAAACTAAACCCTTTGATCAAGGTTTATATTTCTATTTTTCAAGAGATTTTTTATATATGCAAGAAGAATCACCATCATTTTTTTTACAGAAGGAAGATAAACTGATGAGAGACCAACTTCAAAATGTCCTTTGTCCATACTCTATGTGCCATGAGTGATTGACACGTCTTGTAAAATGGTTTTGGCCCTGATCGCTTGAACTTATCAGCCATGATATAGTGTTTTTATCTCACAACAAAACAGCGAACAGTACTGTCGGGTTCATAAACCCGGGGTCCCTCACGGACCGGCTTCCCAACAAAGGCTCGGCCCAAGCAGACAAACACGCAACTCATGGGCCGGCCCAGGTATCTAAACAACAGACCGGAAAGGCGATCCAATCACCGACCGGAAGGTCTGGCCGAGGAGGAGTGGCGCCCGTTTTTCGACTCCGGCCCACCTTACCGACCAGAGGGCTCACTTCGGTTTCCAGCCCGCCTCCGGACGGCCTGGCAAAAGCACTACTTCCGACTCCGACCTCACGTCTCCGATCGGGGTACGCAAAAACCCTGCTCATTACCCTTCTCCGACTGGCGCAACCAGAGCCGACTGGGACCAACCGACCGGGAACGCCCCGCTCGGAAAGGACCAGGGAACGAACGGAGAACGCAAAGCAAGGCGCACAAGTGAAACCACGATACCAGGGACCGTACCCTGTACACCTACAAAAACAGTACTCTGCAACCTCCTTGACACAAACAGTGTTGTAGGCGCCGACATTTTCCCTACAGTATTGTGGACGCCATTAACTCCCATACGGTAAGGCTCCCCCCACATGCCTTTGGGCATCGACAGTGTTGTGGGCGCCGGCATTTACCGTACCGAGTGAACATGGTGAAACCCCTCACATGCCTCTGGGCATCAACAGTATAGCAGGTACCGATATCTGCCATACCCGAACAAAACGACGTAACCTCCCACATGCATCCGACATCCAACAGTGTTGTGGGCGCCTACCATCATCCTATACCCACCGGCGTGGGCAACAAGGCTTAGAAGCATACGTACTCTCTCCCTCTCACTTATAAGGCCATCCCCTTCATCTATAAAAGGTGATGCGTTCTCTCCCAACATTCAAGTGATTTCAGATTCATTAGATCGATCAAGTTCACTAGTTCACAACCACAGAACCGCCAGGTTCGAACCTCAAGCACACGCTTTAACACTTAGCTCATAGCGGAGCTCCTGTCGCTCTCGGCCCTTCCGACCGGAGCCCGACCGGACCTCTTGTACTCCCTATCTTTCTTCTTCTCGTTTGTAATCCCACTGCAAACTTCGAGCACCTGGGCTCAGGAATAAAGTCACCGACCGACTCAAACTAGACGTAGGGCACGTTGCCTGAACCAGTATAAACCATGTGTCATTGAGTGCTAGGCCACCTCTGATCACAACGTACGGCAAAACTACAAATATTTAATTGTTGGTCACTTTCTGCACCGACAGTTGGCGCCGTCTGTGGGGAAGACGCTGTACGTTCAACACTTTTTGGTCATCGGATGGCCTACTTTTCCGCCACCTTCGCCATGGCGGGCTCAAGCGATACGACTCGCTTCGGCTCACTGGAGTTTCCCGCACTCCCACCTGTTGGGATGTGGGTTCCAGCCGTCTCCAAGCCGTCCTAGGCCTTCATCTTTGGAAGCCTGGATTTCGTCGCCGACCGGCTCAGCGTACTACACCTTCGCGAGGAGGCACTCATTCCGGCGCCCGTCGGAGGGGCGTCCTCCATCGGCTCTGGGACACGCGATGATTTCAACGATGAGGTATCTATGCTTTATTTCGAGCAAACTCTCTGTTCAAACCCCGCTGTGAGTAATGTACATGCTGTTATTTACTTGCTATTTTCTATCTTTCGCCAATTACCCGGAGGGACCCCATTGTCCCCGTCGTGACCACCATACGACCGATTCCCCTACGGCCTCACGTCTCCCATGGACGCGTACTCCCGGGGGCTCCGAAGGATGCCGGCGCCGCCCCTCTCACGTCCGAATTCATGGGGATGACAAGGTATGCTCCCACCTGTTTCCTCGACCTCATGGATGACGATGTTGAGAGTGACGGCTCCAGCATCGGCGACGTGGCGCCTAGCCACCGTCTATCCTAGGAGTGCGCTATGGCGGACGCTCCGGGATAGCCACCGGTGGTAACGGAGTCTTTGCAGACTCACGCCCCTTCAGACTCTAGTGCGGAGACCCCCGAGCTCACACGGGAGCATGGTGAGGAACTACGACAACAGTTGCTGCACCAGCCACCGACTGCACCAGCATGCTCGGTGCACCACACTGCGCCCCGTGCGCATAAACCGGCGAGCGACGCCCGGGGTCGCGCCTGTCGGGTCTAGTGCAACACCATGAACAGGGGGACGATCCTTCGCTCGGGCCAATCAGAACATCGTCGCTGTGGCAATGCTTCTACGCGGCCTTCCCGAGCCGAACGACCCTCAGGAACAGGCGATCTGCCGAAACCTCTAGGCACTAGTGGACACCATCACCGTTCAATAGGCAGAGAGCTCCGTATCGCGACACCGACTCACGACCTCTCTCCCCACCAGCGGAATGGGAACGCAGCAGATGAGTCGCTCTACCCGCTCACCGCTACAACCGCCGAGCGTGGCACAAGAGGTCGCACCTGCGCCTCGTCTTGACTTGATGACTGCTCCGCACCGACTGCCTATACACGGGCGGCTCAGGCTGAACCGAGACGCACGCAGCAGCGACCAGAGTCCTAGCCCGGATGGCCCGGAACCACGGACCTTTGTCCAACACCTCCAGCGAGCACCACTCCCGACATGCTCCAACGGAGGTCAAGGCAAAGGCAAGGCCAAGCGCCAGGATCAGGACGAGGGCCCCCCCACATAGAGGGAAAAAAGAACAGAAAAGAT